AATTAATGTAATTGTTCTTTGAATATTAAACTAAATCTTACTGACCGAACTCACCTTTGAACTAAATGCAGACTGCACTCCTAATTCATATATATAGAAATGAATGTAGCTCACCTTAAAATTGATAACATGGAAGGCCTTATCATCCGCCACCGAGAAGTTAGCGTCGACGATCTCACCTCCTTCATCCTCGACAACTCTAAGGGCCTTAATGAACACAAACCAGTCGCTAGAGTTGCTAACGATGATCACCTGTAGCACTATACCAAGATCATGAACCTCTATATGAAGTGGTAATTTCATCGCACTTTGGCTCGATTTTAGTTGGGTTAATAGATGGGTTTTCCTCTCCTTCATGCTCTCTATTCTCTGTTGCATAAATTTTATGTAGTTCACTGATGCGTCCAGTCGATCAGGGACTTGTACTGATCTTCTCCCCTGAAAATATATGAACATATAGTTTTTATAAGATGTTATGGACTTAGAACACGTAGCCTCAAATGGCACATAACATTAATAATGTTAGAATATAAAAATATAATGCTTAGTCCTTATAAAAACTTTAAATTTTTATGGTAACTGTTGGGTCCTTTAACATGGCTTTGGAGCAACCCATGTTCGAATCCTTTAGACCAAGGATTTAAAACAGATTTAAAAAATAAAATAAATTGGTACCGCTCCGTGAATCTGGCTTTTAGTAACATAAAAGAGCCCTCGGTCTGCTAGGGCATATTTGAATATAAAAATATAACTTTCAATCCTCGTCAAGACTTAAAGTTTTGATATAATGATTAGGTCCTTTTAACAGTTATACGTATTTGTATTCATACCCGTGTAGCGAGTGGTGGCTGAGGGAGGAGAGCGTAGAGCTGGGAGTACAGACGTTTCAAGTGTATTCTCCTGTTCCTCTCCACCACCTTTCTCTCTGGCCTCACTGAAGAAGAACCAATCTCCATTTACGCAACGCCACCAAAAAGCTCACCGAAACCTTATTTTGCTAACTCAAATGTCGCTCGTGAGCAAGTATAAACATACAGCAGACATAAATACTAAAGCCGGTCGCGTCAAAAAGAATATTTGACGTCAGTTCTGTGTGTCTGCACCACTTGGAGACGACCCGACGACTTATAATCGGACTCGACCAACAGTTATAAAGCTGGCTAGTTGCATGCATTATACCGAAATATTTTTCTTTGATTTTGAAAATGCCGTATTTGTTGACTACTCGTAATCGTTTAGCCTCGGCTCACAATGGGTTCATGTGGTTCGTCCGTGTGTACGGTTGATATTAAGTGATAATGAAGGTGGTCCCCTTACCGGCCAAGTTAATTGCACATACTATCAGCGCATGGACCACATAATAGGGGCATATAATTATATAATTGCCCCTCCTTCGCTCCAACGCAGGGATCAGAACATTCGCATCGTGCGGCTTGCATTACATAGTAAATTAGTGCGTAAAAAATATTTTTAATATTTTAATAATTAATACAAATATGAATATTATTTTAGAAAACTATTGTCAAAAGTAATATAAAGCCTCTAACTATTAGACAATATGGGGAGTGGGTCAAGTTAAATCACAAAGCAAAGATAAGATACATAAAACCTAATCATTATGGGGTGGTTACAATACATATAAGACGTAACCAGTCAAGTTAAACATATCTCTTTTCATCGTTGGATTCTATTGATTAATCAAAATTAAAAAACACTAGTATCACTATGATTAAGGACAGATCTAGATGTAGAAGTGGGTGGGCAATTGACCCTATAGAATTTTAAACTTTTTTACAAAGAGGCACATAAATCGATATAGGTCCCCTTAAAATTTGGTAGGTGCCCTCCATCCAATGAAAGAAAAGACCACGTAGAGAACAATTATGATGAATGATTGTTTGGATTATTTCGTGATAAAAATGAAAAATAATCTTCTATTTATATGAAAAATTATATTAACAGTATTATGTTTTGATATCTTTTTTATTATTGTGTAAATATTATATATAATTGTATATGTACCCCATAGGAAAAAAAAAGTTCAGGATTCGTTTCTGGTGGGGATACTTGAGATTTGTTTCCTTTATTATTATTTTTGTCTCCTTTATTATTATTTTTGTCTCATACTCCATTTGGAAATGGTTTAAGAATGAGAGATTAAGAAGAAGAGTTAATATAGTTAGCCCATTTGATAATTGAAGGGTTAAATAGTTAACCCAGTGCCGTTTGGTAAGGGAATAAGAAAGAAGGGTTAAGAAGAAGGATTAACTTAGTTAACCCTTCACTAAGGCCCCATTTGGCAAAAGGTTTGTGAAGAGGGATTAAGGAGAATGATTAACATAGTTAGCCCATTCGATAATCCGAATGACTAAATTATTAACTCGTTATATAAGTTTTATTTTAACCCTTATGATCATTTTTAGTGTTTGGGAATAACAAGAATTTTGACAATTTTCTTTATAATTAGAGAGGTTAGCTCTTAATCCTTCTAAATAGGAGTATTAGTAAACCTCTCATTTTTTGAGGGGTTAACTCATTTTAATCCCTCTAGAGGGGTTTGCTTAACCTTTCTATATAATTTGTGTTTTGCAAATTATAGAGGGTTAACTCACTTTAACCCTTATATAGATTTTTTGTGTTTGATGGGTTAAGAATGGGTTAAATCTCCTTAACCTCTCACTTAACCCTTTGCTAAACGGCACCTAAGGGTTAAAAACAATTTAATTCCGTTTGGATTTTATAGTTAATATCAAGGATTAAATTTTTTGTGTATGGCAAAATAAAAAGGGTTAAGTATGTCAATCCCTCTAATTTTATTAAAAATGCCAACTTTGACCTTATTAAATGTAGAAAAAAATTCTTATAATTATGATATTAAGATATTTTAACTAAAATTTGCAATCATCTAATCAATAAAATAGTACTCTGGTTTTCATCATTTAAATAATGATTATTGACAACACTAGTAAAAGTTAATTTAACTAAATTAGAAAATTAATATTTTGTAGGCAACATTATTATACGCTTAACAACAATCAATTTAAATGTATTTGGTATAAAAGGTGGTTTAGTGTTTGTTTCTAATTGAAGGCGAAGGAACTAATATTCTCTTAAAATTGGTTTTATTTGTCACTGAAAACTTTGCTCTTTTGTTGCGCTTCATGTATAAAAGGTCAAACTTTCGTTCCCCAGATATGATTAACTCGACTCAAACATTACTCGCTCCATGAGAATATCTCCCACTATAAAAAATATAGTATGTTAGTTCCCACTCTTTCTTCTAATTGACAGCTAATGCTCCGTGACAGGAGGCGGACTAAATTTTTAATCCGCCTTCTCAGGCAGAATTGTTAACCCATCAGTAGATGGGTTAACTAAGGATCCCACCATCACTTGGGGGTTAGTAATGTTGGTCTTGAAAGTGGAGACCCAAACCTAGAATCAAAATCAACAATCGCATGAAAATTCAAGACAGGTCATGGGTGTGGTCTGCGCCACACCAGGGTGTGACAGAATCTGTCATGTCTATCATGGGTGTGGTCTGCACCACACCAGGATGTGGTAGAGTCTGCCCTGTCTGCCATGGGTGTGGTCTGCGCCACACCAGGGTGTGGCAGACTCGTTTTAGAATTCTAATCTGTTTGGGATTGTGTTTTGTTATAAATAGAAACACGTCCCTTTAGGGTTTAAGAGAGAAAAAGAGCACAAAAAAGAGGGTTTTGAGGGCTCTTTGAGGTTAGAAATCTTAGAGAGAGAGGCCAATTGCAAGCATTGTAATCTTCTTCAAGTAATCAAAGAATTGTGTGGTGTGGCTCCCGAGGACGTAGGCACGTTGCCGAACCTCGTTAAATCTGGTGTGTTCTTTCTTGTTTACTTTCCTACAAGTTTTTATCTTTGATTTGTGGTGAATTTCTTTCTTGCTCAACTCTCAAACATAAGATCCGGAAGGGTACGGATTTGATTTGATTATTTCAAATCCCTAACAACTGGTACCAGAGCTTCGTTCAGCAATTTGTGTGAAAGAGAGCCATGACAGAGGAAATCAAATCAAAGATTGAGAAGTTTGATGGTTCAGACTTCGCCTACTAGAAGTTACAGATGGCGGACTATCTGTACCAGAAAGATTTGTATCGCCCGTTGATAGGTGAGGAAAAGGGACAGAAGAAAGAGGAGTCTGATAGTGATTGGGAGATACTGGATAGGAAGGTTCTAGGGCAAATCCGGTTGTCGCTCGTCAAATCAGTAGCCCATAATATTTTAAAGGAGAAGACAACGGTGGGGCTTATGGAAGCGCTCGTGAAGATGTACGAGCAACCGTCTGCAGCAAACAAGGTGTATCTCGTCAAAACTCTCTTCAACCTCAAGATAGCAGAAGGACGGTCCTTCACGATGCACCTCAGCGAGTTCAACACGATTGTTGATCAGCTTATCTCCGTAGACATCACGTTTGATGACCAAGTGCAAGCCCTAATGATTCTTTCGCAGTTGCCAGATAGTTGGGCAAGTTGTGTGATGGCAATCAACAATTCGGTGGGGAAGGAAAAGTTAAAGTTGAGTGAGGTTGTTAGCATGATTCTATCCGAGGAAGTTAGAAGGAAATTGTCCGAATCAAAAGGTTCAGGTTCAGCTCTAAGTTTCGAGCAAAGAGGCAGAAGCCAGAAGAAAGGAAACCAGAACAGGAATCGATCGAAATTAGTGAAGAAGAGGTCGAACTCGAAGGTTAGGCCTATCAAAGGGAAGTGTTAGAACTACGGCCAGGAAGGCCATATGTCTTCAGTCTGTAAGAGTCCAAAGAAGGATGCAGGTGAGCAGGAGGCTCACATCGTGCAGGATGCCTTGATCCTTGCTATGGATAGCGACTCAGATTCTTGGGTCATTGATTCAGGAGCCTCTTTTCACGCTACTGCTAACAGAAAGCTCTTTCAGAATTATATAGCAGGGAACTTTAAAAAAATGTATTTGGGGAATAACGAGCCATGTAATATTGTTGGAAAGGGTGAAGTGCAGATTCAGATGAAGGGCTCTAAGTGGACCTTGAAGAACGTGAGACACGTGCTGAAGCTGAAAAGGAATCTTGTTTCGGTGGGACAGCTTGGAACAGAAGGCTATGTTTTGACATTCACAGGGGATTCGTGGAGAATCTCCAACGGTACTATGATAGTTGCTCGAGGTAATAAACTAGGAACTCTCTACCTCACCTTAGATGCGAGTGACACCCTCGCAATTACAACTGGCAAAGAGAGTACAAATCATTGAATACGGTATTGATGAGTTCGGGTATCGCATTTGGGATGAGAAGAACAGGAAGATCATCAGAAGCAGAGACGTGATATTCAATGAGGATGTAATGTACAAGAACGGGAAAAATACCAAGGATAACCAAAGCAGTGGGAGCAACACTACGGATACAGGTGGATTCGAGTACATGGATTTAGAGGAACTTGCAGATATGAATGATGATGTTTGTTCTGATCAGAGAATGGAGAAGGCTCCAGGTACAGAAGAAACTACACATGGTGTGGAGCTTAGGAGGTCATCCAGGGTACCCAAACCAAATCCCAGATATCTTTCATCTCTTGACTACCTATTGTTGACAGATAGCGGTGAGCCGGAGTGCTATGAAGAGACAATGCAAGTGAGTGAATCTCAACAGTGGGAGCATGCTATGCAGGAGGAGATGGATTCTTTACTCACTAATGAGACATGGGAGTTAGCCCAGCTACCTGCACAGAAGAAAGCCTTACATAACAAATGGGTCTACCGGGTCAAGCAGGAGAGTGATAGAAGCAAGAGATTAAAGGCCAGATTAGTAGTGAAGGAGTTTCAACAGCGGGAAGGAGTGGACTATACAGAGATATTTTCTCCTGTTGTGAAGCTCACAACCATCAGAGTGGTGTTGAGTTTGGTAGCTGCAGAAGACCTCTTTCTTGAGCAGTTAGATGTGAAGACTGCCTTT